TATGAATATCCTGCCATTGTTCAATGGAACATTTCTCAGTTAACTCACTACTACACACGTTGAATACAGACTAGTCGCAAATGACAAATGTAACCTAGTCAAATAGCAACACAATGCTATCTACCGTAAACTTTCTTTAAACTTAACTCAAAAATGAAGGATTGCAGACATATTTTTATATGTACTCTTGTCTTTGTCTTGGTGTGTGGAATCCATGCCCAAAGTTTGCAAAGGTATTTTTGATACATCCTGTGTGTGTGTGTGTTAATCATTTTAAGGTGTGCTCAATATCAAAGATAGAGCGTGTGTAAACATAAAAGTGAACATTGAAGTCAACACTCAGAGGCGACAGGCTGTTTCAAGTCAGTGAATTTTACTGCATAAAAATGATGAATCATCAAAACAAAAAACAAAACCATATCTTTCAGACTCTGATTCTGAAAAAGAAATTTCTCATGATTGCGTCCCTCAATGAAACTCCTCTAGTAAAACTTTCCCCTTTCTTAATTGAAAAAGTGCTATCCCCAAAGCACTTAAAAAATTGAGAAATGGCAATTTGCTGGTAGAAGTGGAAAATAGTAAACATGCTGAAAGTATAATCAAGATGAAGACTTTTTTTTACCTAAAAAAAAAAAACAAACCCTGAAGTGGAGAGTTGTCTCTGGCCACATCTGAGGAAATCACATGCCTTAGGAAGTCAGGGGGGGTCAGTGATTATCATAGAATTACAATAAAAAGGAGAAACCATAACAACAGACATGTATATCCTTGCTTTTGCCACATCTCAAGGGTTAATGAGGTTAAACTTCTGTTTTTCAACATCATTTTGAATTCTAGACTCGACACGAGATGTAACATCAATTAAACCCTTAATTTTTTTGTTTTATGTTTTTATAAACAAAAATGGCTGTATCAACATCCAACGAAGCCTTTATTCAGGAGTTTTTCTTTGATTTGGACTCTGATGATAATTTTGAAGGCTTTACTCGTGGATATTGACAGTGAAATGGAGGAAAGCGATGATAACCACAATTATTTTCAACATCAAAACATGCATAACGCATTACATCAAAATATTACTCATCCATTCTTTTATTAGTACACAAAAAAATAAGATCTATACACATGATACAAAGAAATTTATAACAATTTTAAAACCGATGTTCATGTTTTTGTGCTCTCAAAAACAAAACAAAAAAATGCAGTGGCAGGGGGAACAATTCTAGAAAGAATTTAGTGTACTAAAGGTTAAAAATGTACAATAGCATATGGAAAAATGGAAACTTCCCAGTAATGTGGAGACATTCATCATCCCTATTCCACAGTCTGGTGGTGAAAGGGTGGCGGACACATCATCCCTATTCCACTGGTGGTGAAAGGGTGGCGGACACATCATCCCTATTCCACTGGTGGTGAAAGGGTGGCGGACACATCATCCCTATTCCACTGGTGGTGAAAGGGTGGCGGACACATCATCCCTATTCCATTCCACATCATCCCTATTCCACTGGTGGTGAAAGGGGTGGACACATCATCCCTATTCCACTGGTGGTGAAAGGGTGGACACATCATCCCTATTCACTGGTGGACACGGACACATCATCCCTATTCCACTGGTGGTGAAAGGGTGGCGGACACATCATCCCTATTCCACTGGTGGTGAAAGGGTGGCACAGACCCTGAAAACCACACACTGATAGAATTAACCAATTGCCTATGTAAAACTATGGAGACAATGATCACCAACAGGTTGACTTGGTATCTGGAAACTAAAGGCTTAGTCAATGACTGCCAATGTGGGGGGGGGGCACCATAGTCCACTTAATATGCCTAGAAATCTTTTGTAATGGAAGCTTTCATTAAGAAGGAACATCTCATAGCAGCCTTTTTTAACTTACTAAAGGCATACAACACAACATGTAAATTTGATATCTTGGAAGACCTGCATGAACTAGGCCTAAAAGGAAAGTTAATTTAATTTATAGAGAGTTTCCTGGAAGACTGAAGATTTCAAATCCATATGGGAACTATGCTATCAGGACTGCAAAATCAAAAAGAGGTTCCATGAGGAAGCATTCTTTTGGTAATTCTATTCTGCATAAAAATAAGTCCATAGTTAAATCCCTGAGCCCAGGAGTGAGATGCTCCCTATATGTCAATGATTTTCTAATGTACAGATCTCGACATATGCATGCCATAGAAAGACAGCTCCAACAATGCCTCAATAAAAATACATAAATGGGCTGCTGAAAATGGTTTTACTTTTTCCAAAATGAAAACCAAATGCCTACATTTCTGCAAATTAAAAATTGCCCAATAACCTCTGTTTAAAATTAAACAGAGCAGAAATCTCGGTAGTGGAACAACACAAGTTCCTAAGCACCATCTTTGACAAAAAATTAACATTCATTCCCCATCTAAAATATTTAAAAATAAAATATAGTAAAGTCCTCCAGCTTCTGTGTGTGGTAACTCATGCTGAATCAAAGGAGAGATCCACAAACACTAATTAAATTATACAGATCACTTCTTCACACAAAACTGGATTATGCTAGTTTCATATATGGGGCGGCCAGTAAATCATATCCAAAACTACTTGATGCAACCAATCATCAAGGCCTCAGATGATTACTTGGTTCTTTTAGAACATCCCCAGTATAGAGCTTATACACAGAAGCTAAAAAGAAACACTTCGGCATTTAAGGTCCACTAAACTGGCACTACAGTACTAAGTCAAAATGAAATCCTGCTCAACTGACCCAGCTTACAGCAGAACCTTTAAAACTAATTATTGTGATCTTTTCTAACAAAAGGATAATACCATACAACTCTATAGGCTCAGGATGAAATCCATTGCTGAAAAGTTACGGACCACATTCACAAACATACAAGAAATGACTGCAGCCAGTATTCTATCATGGGCAATCAAGCAACCTGAAGTCTTGCTAGAGTTAAATAAATTCCTTAAACAAAAGACACACCCACTCACATTCCAGGACATATTGGAAAACTACCCTAACCATACATCCATCTATACAGACAGCTCAAAGTGTGAGGACAAGACAGGATGTGTAGCAGTGAGCCAAAATATTCCCCCCCCCAAAAAAAAAGGCGTCTCCCAAAGGGAAGTTCTATTTTCACTGCTTATGCAATAGAGCTAGCTCTCAATATCATCACACAAAGCAAACAAAAAAATTTTAATTTTTTTTCTGACTCACTGTCTGACCTAATGGCTTTGAAGGAAAAACAATCCAACAACCCACTCATTATCAAACTGTTATGCAAAATGAGCAGCACTACTTGCAATCATAAAGACATCCAACTATGTTGGATTCCTAGCTACAATGGAATGGAAGGTAACAATAAAGCAGACCTGGAAGACGTATCAGATTTAGATATGAATGTGGACACAAGGATCAAAATCCCATACACTGACTTTTAACAAATATATTCAAAAGGAATGGCAATGGTGCTGGGACAATAATCCATACAAACTCTTTGCAATTCAGTCCACACTAGAAGAATAGGAGTTGGCTTTCAAAAAATCTTAAAGCAATACTGGCCCACTTATACATTGGCCATACAAGAGTAACCCACTCATACTTGCTAAACAATGAAGATCAAGCATATGAAACAGCATACACTATTAAACGTATATTGACCAAGTGTTCAGACCTTGCTCTCAAGACAACCATTTTATAATATAAACGGGTATGAGATCTTTGGGAAAACAAAAGTGGATGACATAATATTATTTCTTCAAACAATTGGCCTATACAAAAAACAAAACAAATAAGAATGTCAATAAAACCAACTGCTCTACAAACTGTATATCTGAAAAGAATACATCAATGAAACCTCATCTCCTACTAACTGATTTCTTACAAAGAATACATATTCTATTCATACAAATCTATTGTAAAAATCATATCGGCATTAAATAACCCATTGAGGTTGATATGTCATGAAACAAAACAAACTAATAAAACTTGATTAGAATATCCAAGTTTTACTCATTGTAAAATAAAGTACAAAAAAAAAATCCAAATATTATTGATTAGCAATAAAAACATTCCTATATAAATTGACATGAACTTTTTTTGTTTCTATAATTGAATTATTTTGCCATCATTATAATAGAACATAAGAATTCTAATAGGTAGACTTATTTTGTGCAATGCATAATCAAGACCTTAGTCTAAGGATTTCATTTTTCTTAATTCCTAAAATTTTTTTTTTTTTTTTTTTTTTTTACTCTGAGCTGTTGTACAACTTTGATTAATGTCCTAATTTGGGCTTGAAATTTAAACCTCATGCAGAACAAATTTATTTGATATTAAAATGGATTATGTTCTCTTTTAAATCTTTTTTTTTTTTTTTTACAGTAATCTGATAATTTTCTTAGGGTTCATTTGTAATGTGTTTGGGACAGAATGATGTTAATATTTTACTTTGTTACCAGTTAAGCACAACATTATGCAATGTCCCCCTTTATGAAATTCATGCCTTGTTTTCATTTTGTCTTCTGCAAACTACTGTGTAAAATAACCTGCTTTGCAGCAACACCATTTACTATCTGGGGAAATGCCTGCACACCTTAGGATAAAAGAAAATCTTGCCAATGTAGGTTTTTTATTATTTGGCTGCAAAGATTTCATATTTGACATGTTTAACTTTTTGCCTTGATTAGAGCACTTTTTTTTTTTTTTTTTTTTTTTTTTTCTTACATAAATTCTGAAGTTTTGAAAGTAACCTATAATCTGATACTTTGTTCTTCATAATAGATAAAATAAAAAAATTTTCATGGACTTTATTGTAATTAAACCATCCGGAATTTGGTACCATTTCTGAGTAATTTGTATTATCAGCAGAAATCCTGAGGATAAGGCAAACTTATTCAAATCTGTTGTTTTAAATCTTGTAACAGATGCAAAACTATAAATGACTTTTTCCATCTGTTGCATTTAAAACTTTTTTATCATTGTTTTTGTTTATTACAGGTCGAGCAAGTCGAGAGCATCGTAATGTTCTTTTCAAGGAGTTTGAATTAGTTACTGATACAGAAGAGTTTAATAATGAAGAGGATGATGGAGAGGCCAGCGAATCAAAAAGATTAAGTGAGCAGAGAGATGAAAAGTCTCACAAAGACTATTCTAATATGATTGAGGCTGTGAAAGGATGCCAACTGGGAGACAAATCAATCAAGGACCTGGAAGAATTTGCACGCAAAGAAACTTCTGATGATAAAGAATTTCTTAAATTTAAGGAAAGAATTCGTAATGATCCGGAGCAGGTAAGTTACTCTAGAATTGATTCTTCTCTCTCTTTTCCTCTCTCTCTTTCTCTCTCTTTCTTTCTCTCTCTCTCTTTTCTTTCTCTCTCTCTCTCTTTTCTTTCTCTCTCTCTCTCTTTTCTTTCTCTCTCTCTCTCTTTTCTTTCTCTCTCTCTCTTTCTTTCTCTCTCTCTCTTTTCTTTCTCTCTCTCTCTTTTCTTTCTCTCTCTCTCTCTCTTTTTTCTCTCTCTCTTTTTCTCTCTTTTCTTTCTCTCTCTCTTTCTCTCTTTTCTTTCTCTCTCTTCTCTCTCTTTTCTTTCTCTCTCTCTCTCTTTCTCTCTCTTTTCTTTCTCTCTCTCTCTTTCTCTCTCTTTTCTTTCTCTCTCTCTCTTTTCTTTCTCTCTCTCTCTCTTTCTCTCTCTTTTCTTTCTCTCTCTCTCTCTTTTTCTCTCTCTCTTTCTTTCTCTCTTTCTCTTTCTCTCTCTTTCTTTTCTCTCTCTCTCTTTACAATATTTTTCTTATATCAGTTTGGAATTTGTATCCCCCCTCTTTGTTACTGCTGTTTCTATTTTAGTTTTCCTTGTCCTCTTTCTTGCTCTTCCTTAATTAGTTACCAATTTATTAAACTGGAATCTGTTCTAGGCCTTTTTTTTTGTATGTTTGCGTATATATATATATATATATATATATATATCTGCATATAGTTTATCAGCATTTCTGTCACCTTCTCCATTTATTGTTTTGTATAAATTTGTCAGTCATTCATTCCCTAATTCTTGTGTGACCAAATTACAACACCACACACATACACACCATAAAAAACTAATTTTTTTCCTACTCTAGCAGATTTTCAGTCTAACATTTTGGTTGTTTTTGTTTTACTTATTGTTATAATGAACAGGAAAATAAATTCAAAGTCAAGATTATAAGCTATAAAATTAAAAGCAAAAGGTATTCTTTGAAAAACACTTACACTTGTTTGAGATTTATAAAGATTATTTTTGATACTTTGAAATTTATTCACAAGTCATGCTATTTAGAAAAAAGTCACTATATGTCTAATGTCGACTTTTAAGACTGAAAACTCAGATTAATCCCACTTTCTTGCTTCTATAGTAAGAGAAGACTATGAGAGCTATGTGTTAAATTTTTAAAAACTTTTTGTGTAAAGGTCCCACTAAAAAAAAAATCGTGAAGCAAATACTTTTCTTGTATTGTTTTGGACTGTTAATCTCATCTTGGTTGATATAGATGTTCTTATAGACACAACGTTTCAACCAAGTACTCTCTGGTCATCATCAAGTGTCCATTGATTGGCTGATATGGGACATCTGTTGCTTATTGTGATATTTCTGTACCTGTGATATCAGTTTGTTCCTGCTGAATTGGTGCTTCACTACCAGATCCAAGGATTGAACTCTTGACCACCAGATGGCAGTAACACATGCATAACCAACTTATACATACATATATACACTACATCACCATCCAGGAGTAGTATGTTTTTGGAGCCTTTTATATTCAATGTCAGATGGTTTTTGACATTTGGTTATGATGGCAGGTTTGTACTATTTTTCATAATTTATGAGATATGAATAATTGACAATATTCTTTTATTTCAAACTGCTGTTCTCCTCTTGGTTGATATAGATGTTATTATAGAGACTGTTAAGGGTACTAATAACATCTTCATCAACCAAGATGAGAACGGTAGTTTGAAATAACAAGAATATTGTTAATTACTCATCTCAAAAAATCAAGTAGTTATCTATACTCTCTAACAAAATAATTTGAGCTTTTACATAAAGAAAATTCACTATCTTGTTGATATTATTACATACATCATCTTACAAATTTCTCTTCATTCTTTTGCCTTTGAAGATTTTTTTTTTTTTTTTTTTTAATGTTCATAAGTTTTATTTGTAGTTGTATTAGTGGTTTTTTTTTGTACTGGGCCCCTACATTGTGAAAATTATTTAAATGAAATACTCTTTCTAATTCTTCTATTCAATTATGATACATTTAGTAAGAGAGATAAGGAAATGAAACAAATGATAGGTTTTTGCTCCCAGTATTTTTGCCCAGCAAGGTAGGTGATATGCTACAAAGGCAAAATAATTAACTCAAGAACATGAGGCATTTCAGAAATGTCTGAACTGCTTTTCTCAGATCAATCTTTAAAAATAACTTCAGACGAATAGATTTTCTAGGGAATTAGAGAAGTGTTACAGAATGTGATGGCCAGGGCCAGAATGGTTAGTGATTGGCCGGAATGCCTCAAGAGTGGTGTATTTTGATGGTGATTGATTGCCTTTGTCTGAGTTTTGAAGTCCAAAATGGCATGAATTCAACAGAGGGTTGCAAGAATTCTGAGGTGTCAATACACCTCCTGCGGAGGGATGCTGAGCATACGTGCGACATGCATTCCCGTAACATTGTTCCTCCTACTATCTCTTAGGATCCAAACTGCCACCACTCTCTCCTGATGAAATGAATAACAAAAGAAATGTTCCTTTTCATTGATACAATTTTAGTAGCATGGCGACCCAGAGACAACACAGAACACAACAAAAGACAATTCTTCATTAGATCTTTATAGGTTGGTGCTACAGAATCACAAAAAATGAATATCATATATAATTAGAAGGGAGGGGGGATAATATAATTTTTCTGTATTTTTCAAATTTTAACTTTTTTTGTATGTTTCTTGCATGCACATTTGAGGTTAATAATTATTTATCTTAAATGAATAATAAACTGATACATACTTTTACATGGTCACTGAATTTAGAAATTAATAAAAGTCGGGAATTGATTTTACATTGTACAATATTATGAACAGGAACCCCCCCCCCCCCGGACCTAAATCAATAATGATAAAAATCAATATTTTGATTTTTGACAAGTGTTACGGACTAAGGAAGTTTCTACAGAAAGTTAATGTACAAAAATGATTTCCAAGTCGAGCAGTCTACTTAAGAAGAGAAGCGGATAGGACCAAGAAGAGAAATTTGGCAGAGGATGCCTACATTGATCTCAGTTTCAGAGAACTGGTCATTAACAATGACCTTCATGAACCTACCTGATAGGAAGATGACACTTTCAGACATGCCATAATCAGATCTTATATGCTACACTTACGTAAGGCGATAATTCTCATGGAATTTGTTATGAAGTGCATCACTGATTCCATAATAAATTTGGAAACTTCCTGAACCGTGATAGAGATATGATGATTTGCGCTCTGTGAGAAGTGCGGTCTCAGGTAGGGGATAGCCCTTGTTGTCTAATGTGGAGTTAGAAGCAGTTTATTGCAAGGAGCATACCCTTCTCTAACACAGATGCGATAACCTCATGTCTGTTTAGAATAGAATGCACTTATTTTCCAAAAATTGTGAGAACCAAGTGTAACGAATTTAAAATTTGTTTATTTGGCATTTAGAAATCTTATAAACCAATGTTCCCTCAGAATTTTTCTGCTCTTTCAAGAATATCAACATGACCAGTTTCCTGTAAATTCAATTTTTTTTTTTTTTTTTTTTTTTTTTTTGAAGATACGTCAAAATAAAATTAGGTTTTGTAACATAAAAATGCATTTATTTTTTTTCATCTGAAATTTAGAAACAAAGATTATTTTTGTGCACAGGCCATAATGAAAATAAAATTTCCTTTTCTTTTGTTCACATGACCCTTATGTCTGTATACGTATCTTTTGTTCTTCGGACATCATTGTACAGTTGTCCTATCTTAATTCTGGCAAAAATCAACAAGTACAGCATCACTGATGAAAGGCTGTAAAAACTGGTCAATCATCAAAGGATGAATTGAAGCATTCCTGATTGTTTTCAATTTTGGTGATTAACTTTTTTTTATCAGTTGCCACCAACTTTAATAATTCTCTTCCAAAAAGAACTTGCTCAACTTACATACTGTAAACATACATCCAGGGCTTTCACACAGTCCTTCACCAACTGGACAACTTTGCCCCATGTCATTTCAATTTGTGTCAGTGTCAACAAAAACTGGGAAATGTCCCAGTGTATGTTCACAAAGAAATGAAAGGTGAAATAATGGCCTGGCAACAAAATAAAATACAAATCCTTTTTTCAATACATTTAGGTTATTTATTCTTCCATGCATCTGGTATGGAAGTAATGACACTTGGATATCTATGGTACGACTTCTGTCTTTTCTCATGACAGACTATCTAGATCTTCCTTTTGGCCAACAAGATTACTACTCCCACCTATCTCTGACTGTGATTGTTTTGAATACAAGTTTTCAATTTTTGCTCTCTATATCTTGAGTGGCAGCCTGTGTAGCAATATTAGTCAGCTGAGGTCTTGTTAAATTGAAAACGGCTGGACCTGTTGCAAATGGATTTGGAACATTTATTTCCGACCGATGGTTATCAGTATTGTGAAGTGGGTTTACGAGTGGTGCAGACAGCCGCTGAATGAAGATAAACAGCTTTTTTGGACAAAGAACTATGTTAGCTATAAAACTGACCAGTACCACAAAAAAAAGACACAAAGTGGGTCTCTGAGAATGGACAGGGAAGGCACTCGTTAGACTGTTCACCTCCCACCTATGTCTAATCTGAACTTCACCTGTTTATAGCAGTAGGTTACATCCCAAGAATAAAATCTGGTTTACTGTTAGAAATTGTTTCATTTTTCACTTTTTTTTGTGTGTGTGTATATATATATATATATATATATATATATATAAAATAAAAAGGCTTAAATACTAATATTCCATGGTCATAATTTATTCCATTGGAATCGTAAATATGATCCAATTCATCAGACCTACAAATTCCAAAAGAAAACAGAAAAAACAACTCTGGGAATAAAAATTAAATTTAGTGAGAGTGTATGTATGAGAGTATGGGACGAATGTTAGAGTAAAAGAAAGCTATATAGAGGGGTAACAGACGAGAGAAGAACAGAAAGGTCTAAACATGAAGGGGGGGATCACAATTTAACAGAAATTTTAAAGAGGGGAGTCAAAGACGGTTTAAGTGAAAGAATATGAATGTTCTTGGATGTCTAATACATTAAAGATGTAACTGGAAAGGATACATTTTGTAGTGACATACACACACAATAGACTATAGACAATATAATCTTAAAGATCAGAAGATGAGAGAGGAAAAGAAACGAAAAAGGGGTGGGGGAAACTAAAACCGAAGGGCATTTATAAAAGGGCTGCTGTGTAATTAAGAAAATTTGACAAAATTAATATTGACTACAGGTTACAAATCAAATATAAACATATAAAAACAAATATAACAATTATCTAATCTAGCGAGGACCTATATTTCTATGTTCAAAAACACATGCGTATACACGACATATTTATATTTACACGTACATACATACATAGAGGTGTGTACACATATACACATACATAAACACACACATCCATACACATCCACTCTTACATACATATATATATATATATATATATATATATATATATATATATATATATATATATATATACATACGTGCACATAATAAACATATATACATAAAACCTTGTATCTCCATACAATTACATACACCCTCTAAACAAATAAACAATGTATCCATCTAACTATACATACATACATACATACATACACACCCACCCACATAAACACATCTATATACATATACACGCACACATACACACCCACATAAACACATCTATATACATATACATATATACACGCACACACACACATCTATATATATATATATACACACACACATATATATATATATATATATATATATATATATATATATATATATATACGCACATATACATATCTACATATAAATCAAAATGTTAAATTTAAAGAAGTAAAATTTAAAAATTGTCTCAAAAAAAAAAATTTAAATACATAGCACATCACATAAACATACACAATGATATATATAAATAAACATAAGTCATTCCGTTAAAATGTCATGCCCGATGTTATTGAACCAAGATGGAACTGACATAAGTGACAACGCGTTATAAAACGGTGTTTATGTTTTGAATCGTTTTTTTATGTCTACATTTATAAAATATCTCACTACGAAGATTTAGCAACTCATCTTGATTCTTATCTTTAATAATAAAAATTTTTTCTACCATGCACAGATCACACCGATCGCGGAAGTTATTAGGGGTTCTAGCTCTTGATAAGTATCTCCATTCAAAAAGTAGGGTTAGTCCCTTATCCACCAGATCCCGGTAGTGTTTCTGAGGTATCTATATCTAAAAGAGCATCTATGGTTGTATAGACGCTGCTTCCAATCACCGGCGGATATACCTATGTATCTTTTTTTCTGGTTTATATTTTCTTCGGGGAAGATTGTTGCCTCGTATACTGCATTTTCATACATGCATTTAACCCCGATTGGACAATGTTCTTTATACCTACAATTGCAGGTAGGGTTACTAGATTGAGTTTCATTACTATGGTAATTTCTAAGTCTTCTACAGTTATGGGAATATATGATTTTCTCCATATTTCTAACTCATGAGTAACTAATTTTCAGTGTCTTCCTATTGAAAATTTTACGTAGTGGATGTTTACTATGAAAGTGTTTATCAATTAATCTCGGAAAAAAACTTCCTGCAATATGGTGGGTTAAACCATATTACCTTCCTCTTTCTGTTTTTAGTTCTATTATTATTCTGATTTACAAGTTCTCCGTTAAAGTTAAATTCTTGTTTAAAACCACTATTTTTGAGGGCCTGATTGTATATAAATTTATTATCGTTAAAGATTTTTTTTGGCTAGAAGATAGCCTATTTATTCTTGTATTCACAGTTTTGGGAATGTGATCTATCACAGATTTAGGGTGGTTAGAGTGTATAGGGGTGTTTGATCAACTTTATGGAAGGGTTTAAAGGTATCATTCGATAGGTTGAGTGTAATATCCAAAAAGTTGACTATTTTCAGGTTGGAAGATATTTCAATTTGAAGGCCCTAATTATTGCTATTAGGGACAATGATTAGGCCGTCATCTCTATAAATTCCGACTTGGTTATGGCTAACTACTCTACTCAAGGTGTCTAGTATATATGTGCCCACTAAATCTGCAATTTGGGCAGAATCAAAAGCTCCCATAGATACATTGAAACTTTCATTATTCTTCTTCACTCAAGTAGCGCCATTGTATGTAAGTATTGATCTTCTTGATGCTAAAATAATGTCGAGATCATTATCCGTTATTTCAGTATATTCTTTAGCAAAATTAAGGCTGTTAATAATTCCCCCGAAATAGAAGGGTAAAAATCCAAGATGTCAAATCTTTACTCTGTCCTGGACATTGAGTTCTACCTGGATTCTATCCTCTTGGAATTATTTTTTATACAAATCTGTATGTATATATATTTATATATTTTAGATATATGATTGTATATGTATATTTACCACTAATAGTGTGTGTGTGTGTAATATATATATATATATAAAAAAAATATTAGGCAGCATATATTTTATATATAAAGAAATAATCATACATAGAATCAATCAGCAATATTAATGTGATTAATGGCGAAATCACTTCACTAGTAGAACATAATGTATGCATTAAAATACTGTTAATCCATTGAATGATGTGATCCTCATTTATAAAACTGTTAGATGTTTCTAGTGTATATTTTTTAAGTTAAGCAAGTACTTTCAAAGATCATGTCTCCATCCTCAGGCTGTAATTTTTTTCCTTTAAAGTTAAAACTTCAAGACAAAATAACTGTTTGTAGACCAAAAGATGTTTTTTAAGAATGTGCTATTTATTGACGGTTGTACAATATTGGAATGTGCGAGTCACAACGCTAAAGTTCAAAACTTCAAGTGAGAATTTTTATATGAATTTTGTAATATGGTAAATCCACAAATTCTTTTTTACAAATGTTTTTTAGTTAACATTTTAACTTTAAAGGAAAAAAAAAAAATTACAGCCTGAGGATGGAGACATGGTCTTCGAAAGTACTCGCTTAACTTAAAAAAAAAAAATACACTAGAAACATCTGACAAGTTTTATAAATGAGGATCACATCATTCAATGGATTAACAGTATTTTAATGCATACATTGTTCTACTAGCGAAGTGATTTCGCCATTAATATTGCTGATTGAGAGATTATATATATATATATATATATATATATAAAATCTGGCCAAAGGGTAATTTTGAAGCCAAAGCGTTTAACTGGAAGAAGCTGCCCCTTGTCAATAAACTTGGTGTCTGAGCTGCAATGCAACCTGTCTATGAGAATTCCCAAAGTTCCAACCAAGTGACACTTTATCCTGAAAGTTTTTATTTTACTTTTAAACCCAAAATAGACCTTAATGTGGTCAGGAAAACTCAGCCTATTTAACTAAAAATTATTTGAATTGTTTGCATAGCATATAAAGTAGAGGAAGATAAGGTGTTTTGGTTTTTGTGTAAAGAAAAAAAAAATGAATGCTTAAGTTTGACCTAATCAAAGAGGGAGTGGCACATTGTTGATCAATAATTTGAGTTATATCCACACGCACATAAAGCCAGGAATACTTTTAGAACTTGGAATGCAACAAGTGCAGTTTTTTCTCTTCTCACAAATTCCAAATCTTGCATTGGTCTCAGGTAAGTTTAAGGATGTCAAGGGCTTTGTTGTATTTGATTTCTCATGATCCTACACTATAAAATAAGTTTTTCAATCTCTGACTATTGAAGTTATATATACACACGGTTATTCAAAAAGAGCAGATTTTGAAAATTAATAAAAACAAATGCTGGGATATGAACACATTACTGAATAGGAAAAGGTTAGTTTATTTTAGGGTTACATTTTGTAAATTGCAGTACAAAACAAAATGACCACCCAAGAAAATTTAAGTGTTGAAACAATTTAAATTTATACAAAACTTAAAATAAATAAATATTCCACTTATTAAAATAACTTTGAACTTTTTCCTGTCTCTTTTGTATTTGTTTTATTAAATTTTCAAAGTCTTTCTTTTTGAATATATATATATATATCTATATCTATATATATATCTATATCTATATATCTATATATATATATATATATATATATATATATATATATATATATATATACACACACACACACACACACTGAAGTATCACTTATTGGCTATTGTATCAAGGTGAAAATAAATTGCTAATTTAAGTGGTGATCACATCTTTAGCAAAAACATTTAAACTTGTTGGAATTTATTTTCCCTATAAAAGAAAACCTCCAGGTTTTAGTACAACTTCTTTGTTAAACATCTCAACTTGCATAAAATCAGATAAAAAAATTTAATGTGCTATAAAAAATTTTTTCAATCATACTTGTAAAATCTGTAGAAATTGAATAGCCCCCACCAAAGCATAAATATTTTACAAATTTGCTCTAAGATATTTGTATTAAATATTTTTTATTTTACAAGTATAAAAATTTTTTTTTTGTACATCACTTGTCTATTTCAGGTGGTACGCTATCAACGTGGGGGCCAAGTATTGTGGGTGTCCTGTGCAAATAAACCCACTGAAGAAAGCATTCCACACTGTCCTGCCTGTGGAGCACTGCGTATATTTGAATTTCAAGTAAGTACAATAAATCTTTGCTTTACTTAAGTCAATTTATATTGTGACAGGATTTGAGTGTGCAATGAAATGACCATTCCTACAAAAAAAAAAAAAAAATTTTGTTCTTAGGTGTGATATAACAAACACTATACAACTTTGTTTTTGTAGAAATGAAGCTCAAAATAAGTGCAAGTGAATTGGCTTTTATAAAATCCTGAATAAATGTAAATTTTATTGTATTAAAAATACAATTATGGCACAAGGCCGAAAGGGGTTGAGGCTGGTCTTCACTAACGATTTTATACCTAGCTAATCAGATTCACGACCCATTCACCACAAAAACTTGTCCATCACCAATTAATCCGCCGTAATCCTCTGAGATTTAAAAATTTAATGATAATATGAAAATGACTTCCTGTGTTGTATATATTTTCTTTATTTTTTTAGGTCATGCCACAGTTGTTAGTTCACTTGGATGTTGACAATTTGAACAACAGCATTGACTGGGGAATTCTGGCCATTTACACGTGCAGTCAAAGTTGTGACATTGATGCAAGATATGTTGAAGAGTATCTTTGGAAACAAGATTATTCAAATAAAACTTCTTAAATTTTAATTGTTGTATGCCTTTTCTTTCCAGAACTTTCTAAGAAGTCAGAGAACTCTAAAGAAAAAAAAAATCATCTGGTTTCAGAAACTTGATTTAGATTATTTAGCTTCAAATGTTTACAGATTTCTTCATGGAGTACACATAACCCCAAAAATGTCCCCCTCACAAATCAATTTGGGATTGTAAAGATGTTTTGTATCCATTGGGTCAACTGTAGAGGATTGTCATTTCAACTTTTGACGTGTTTCCAAATGATTCCTGCAATTTGTTTATCAGAACTTAAGTTCTATAAAATAAAGAGTCAACAGAAAGTATTTAGTGTTAATCAGGGCCACTCCTGATGCCCCCACCCCAAAGGCTTCATTTCTTTTAAGCACTTCATGTAATATTTATTTCGCTTGGCTTTTGGCACATCTTAGTGTTGATAGAACATCAGTTATGACGCCAGCTAAAATAAGGATTTGTTGAAGGAAAAAAAAATGCTTAAAAGTATGTTCTGTGAATTTCAGGGCCCCTTTCTACAAAGTTTGGTATTGAAAGCATGCCATTTTCTCCCTAGCAATAGCAAAGATTTTGACAATAAAACATCATTAGAAAATACAAAAATTTAAGGAATTGGCACATATTTTAAGCCACAAAGATCTAAGCCATCCAAGCATAGAAATATGAGCTCTGGTTTAAAAAAAAAAAAAAAAAGTCTCATATATATATATATCCCAAAAATTCATTCATGGCCCACTGGATAGAAGCGTTGGTTGGATCCAGTGACTTGACCCAAAGATTTGCGAGTTCAATACTTGATGTAACAAAAACTTGGAAAGTTGAGTTAAAGGGAGATAACTTCTATGCAATTCCAATCACATGATAAAGATGAGTTCAAATAATGTCGCAAGAATTTAATGAGCCACATATCTTTATACATTAATAATGAACTGTTTGGGGGGGGATTAATTTCTAGAGATGTTAATGCTCTTATGTGTTTAATGTCTGCTTCAGTGGAATGGAACTATTGTCAATTTGAAATCTTTTCATTTGTACGCTCTTACAATGACAATCAAATATGAAAAGTAGTAACATTTAGACAAGCTGAAATATTTAACAAAATAGAATTTCCATGGCAAAGGGTTTAATCCATAAGTTAATGATGGAATCAGAAAATTTAAATAGGAAAACCCTAAAAAAAATTTAATGCATTAGAAATGCTCAAACTTTTTTTCTTTTTTTTTAATAAAAATCCTTTAAAACTAAAGCAAGCAACAGTATGACAATTGTAAAATTGATTTTTTCCAGGAAACGAAAAAAAAAAAACTTGGGAAGGGAATTAAGGCAACATTCCTAAAGCATCAATTTTCTTTCCCTTCCAAGCAGGAAAGGGTTTAAGTTTTTCAAATCTGATACTTTTGTTAAAGTTAATATTACTTTAACATTGTCTCTTTTCAGCAGTAAAACTTGTTCCTTATCAACACAAGATAGGATAGATTAAAATAAAGTCAGCCTTAGAGATCTTAAATTGTTGAGAACAAGATCTTTGGTAAATAGGATTCTTCACTGATGCAGATGTTTTATAAAACTTTAACTGATAAGGTCCAGTGAATGCTCAAAGTCCCCCTCCCATCTCAACAGTTTGAGAACCACCCTAATGAAAGCGGGGAGTGGGTACTTAATATTAAAGTAACATCATATTTGTATTGTTCAGATAAAACAGAAAAAAAATGATTCTCAATTGCTCCTGACCCTCTTCAAAATTATTTGAGTTTATATTACTGAATCCATCACTGATCAGAATAAAATATTTTGCCTTTATTGAAAAAAAAAAAAAAAAAATCAATGTACACAGACAGTTAAGACAATTTTTAAATCTGATTTGTTACCCTCTTTGCAACTAAGATACACTCAAAAAAAAAAAAAAAAATCAGCAAAAGAAAGTAAAAGCATTAACAGTTTTATTCATCTATTATGATTAACTCTCGTCTTGACTGATGTGTGGCAAAATTGATAACAGACACTTAGCTTTTAAAAGCCAAGTTATTTTAATTTACATTTTAATATAACATTTCTTTAAAAAAAAAAATTGATGTGTTTACATCATCAGTAGATAACAGCAGCAAAAGACAACAAAGCTTCAGAATAATTTACATTTACCAACAAGAGAAACGTCATCCGGTCATTTGAGAGAACTTTTTACAAACTTTTGCTTCCAAAGAACAAGAACTAAACAGAAGCAAGATTTCGGTTTGTGTTTCTCTTGTTTACAATTACAAGAATTTTTTTTTTTCCCCACAACACAAATCATGATTCAGAAGGGTGTGTGTAGAGAAGTTTTACAAGCATTTACATTCTTTTTCACATGTCCATAGATATCCTTCCCATATACAATAATTAATGACTTATTCCAAATAGGTAATGTATACTTTGTCCATTTAATGAAAAGATTTTCTCTAAAAGTTAATTTTTTTTTTCTTATGCACTGATGACTATTTTCTTACACTTTAGTGAAAAAAAAAAAAAAATTACTGTCTAAATGGGAAAAAGAAAATTGCAAAAATTCGTACCTCCTCAGATAATCATATAGAAAAAATATTGGGGGGGGTAGAAAAAATTGATATATTTCTGGATATGATAAAAATTTTGGAAATACCAAATGAAAGTAATAAAAAGATAAAGGAAACAGGACTGAAATGAACACCTCTCACTCCCTATTCCGTAATATATCTACTTCAAAGATTTAGATGTATGGGCATATATGTTTAAACTTAAGTTTAGTTACATTGAAAACTGATTTCAAACTTATATTGGAAAATAAATAAATATAAAAAAAAAAAAAAAAAAAAAAAAAAAAAGGAAAACTTCCAATAGAAATTAAAGACCATTTGCTGAGCGCCAGCCAAGAAACTGGAATATTTAATGGCTCCATGCTTATAAGGTGTCTTCAGTATGAAAGCCATTTTTCACAGATCTAAATATCAACCCTCAAGACACAACATGGGTAGCTGAAGATTTGCAAATGATAACAAGATGAAGAGATTTACAGGAAAAACACAAACCAATTAGAAATAGCAGAATTACTTTTGTCATCTAAGCACACATTTGTTAGAAAGGAAACAATTTTGTCACCATTTAAGTAATGGCCTCTTTTTGTTCTGGCAGATAAAACAAAATTTTCAGATAATTTTTTTTTTTTTTTTTTTAAATCACAACTTTTTTTTAATGTTGGAAAGTCAGTCTTCACCTCTTCACTTGGAACTCCATAAATACAATCTTCATTTGACATCGTTCAGAAGTTATAATCTGAATTTTTCTTAATTCTGAACATAAAATACTTTTGTGAATCCAGCATAGAAAGTGCTATTGCAAAATTAAAATTGACTTTGTTGTTCCTTTTTTTGCTATCATTCTGCTTTTATGTTTATCACAAACAACAAAAGTTGATTCATGTGTAGCCGTTTGATTAAGGGGGGGGGGAAACAAGACTTGCCTTGGAATTAACAGTCGATGTGGAGGCTAATTTGGTGATCAGAATACTGCCCCCCACCACCCCAGTTGCTTAAATAAAATATTATTTCAGACCAAATTATCAAAGATGCTCTACTATGGCTAAGTTTTGTGCAATTTCTGGTCTTGATTTTATTTTTCTTTAGCAAAGTCTTGGAATTTCAAGACCCGATTTGAAACTGGTAAAAAGAAAAGTTATGTCTCTTTCTTCCTAATTAGGAAAAACTTTATTTTTAATACATAATAATGTTCAAGTGTTGAAAGAAAAAAAAAAAAAAAAGAGAATGGTGAAGCTGAGACAAGATGGGAAGAAAAGCAAAGATATTGAAAATATTCATTTTTTTTTTTTTCTTTAAGAAAAAAAAAAAAAAAGCCAATTTTCATTTAAAAACTGAAAACAGTTCATTTAAAAAAAAAAAAAAAATTAAATGAGTGAAAATAGCAGATTGCAGTACTTTTAGCAGCTCAAATAAGATTTGTGACCTTTGATTCATTAAATATCAGTTTCTTTAACTAAATACATCACAGGTCAAGGGTGAAGTGTTATGTAGTCAAATGTTTAAGCTTAAATTTTGATACCAAATTAACTTTCAGTCAGAGAATCACTTTCCCATTTCTTTCCTACAATGGCTTAACTCATTTCTAAATTGAAAATCAAGTTTGTCCATCATGTGACAAATAAGAAATCATTAACAAAATTGATAATAAAATGAATCCATAAAAATGATTTCTATATTTAACCATTTCATATTTTTACTTTACATATTAAATCTTATTTTGGAGAAATAAAAACATTTTAATGTCAACAACAAATTCATCTGATTAAATAACAGAAGGAAGGAAAAAAAATATTTCTCATTTGTTACCATTTCTCTGCCTCTCAAGTATTTCCTTAGTCTGAAGAATGATTTCTGACATGAAAATGTTTCCTCTAAATAAACCTTCCGGGTGAAATCCCCACACTTTTATGGTAAGGCTGAAACTAATAAATGATAACAAAATTGGTTCCTATGAAGCAGGAGCTGACTAACCAGAAAAGATCAAATTTTCCACAGATTTGGATAGCTTCATCCATTCGTCTAACAAAGTAATAGTCATTACAGTAGTACATGTGTGGGACCACATTATGTCAAATGGCACCATTCATTGTGAGTAATAACTACTCCAATTTTAGTTTGTACTTTTTTTTCTTTTTTCAAAATGGAGACCTTGAGTGAAAAGTTTCATTGCTTAGTTGAGGTTGGTGATTCTGATATGTGATTTTCTTTTTGATTTATTTGGTCTTGTTTAAAAAAAAAAAAAAAGTCATCGGTGTACATGTATGTAGGGTCCTCATGTCATCAAAGTAATCATTGACAAGACTCAGCTGCTGGCCGCCCAGATTATCAAGCCTAATATGACCACTATGACCAGCACCACAAGTGCTGATATACACAAATTCCGCCGTGCACGTTTCTGCAAAGAAACCAGACAGTTAATAAGAGGAAAGGTAAACAATAAGACAATT